CAACAAAAGCTGATTCGTCTGCTAGTAGCAATAGTTTCCTTTTGCTGGAAATCTGACAGATGAGTATCGACATCTGGAACTTTGTCACTTCCAGATGCATGGTCCACGCATAAATATGTAATTCCAATAATAATCGAATACGATATTGACCATCTTAACCATAATCTAGTTTCACTTTGCCTGTCCCTATCTGGTATAACTATGTAAGTTCTATATTTGTACTCTTGGAAATCAGTTTAGGCAAAAACCATCTTGCCGTTGCCGGCACCCGTTGGGCTAAAGATGTGGCATAAAAAAAAAGGCCTGTTTGTAATATGGTACTATTGCAGTGTTGAAAATGTATTCTCCGTTCGTAACTGCTTTGCTCTCTGACATCCGTGCATTGCTGACGTTAATGAACTAACTTCTTTTACGGGTTCGACTGGAACAATGTATGCGTTAAACGGTGATGACTATTTCGTGTGTAAGGTTTTCGATATATCTCTTGCTCCCTTTGGCTGACATTACACAAAAAATAATATTTGAAGAACAGAAATAAATAAATCTATATATGTATATATACAGCATCTCGTCTCGTTTCTAAATTCGAAGCTCGCAGCTAGAAGGTTAGATGCCGCTGTCACTATAAACAGCAGCCGGGCTGAGCTCACAAAAGCTGAGACGCTTATTCAGCTATGTTTACGCAGTCATTGTTACATCTTGCAATCTTCAGTCGACTTCAGCCAGTCGTGTCTCTGGCCCTTCTTCGGCTACCGCTGAAATTCTATCTGGGCCACGTTAATCAGTATATCACTAACTATTACTCGTTGTTAAAGGTAAAGATAAATTTTACAACCACTCGAGCGATTGCGAAGTTACTTGACCTGCTAAATGCTGAAGTACGTACGACGTTAGTCTCCTTCATCAGGTCGTATATGCGGCTTGATAGCGTTGACCTTGTCGTGTGTCGTCGCTTACGACTAGCGGCGCTCGAGCAGCGCCAAATAAAAGACTAAAAATAAAATAAAAGACTAAAAACGTTGTCTGCCAATAACAACAACACCACTAACAACAGAACGGTTTGTGTTGGTGAATATGTGCAACTGAATAGAGGCGGACAGCAGGATCTAATCGAGCTTGAACCCGGATGTTTGTGTGCTGACGGTTTTCTATTATGTTTGAGCGTGTGTATTTGGGATATAGCGGTGCATGGAACTATGTTAGTGTTTTGCGTTCGTATAAATTCTTCATAAAAATATTTCCGCAGAATAGAGTGAGTAAGCAGATGCTGTGTATGTTTGTGCAGTCCTTAAGCACAGGCGATTCCCATCGAAGGAGATATTGAAACGTGTTAAGCTGTCACAAGAGAATCCGACAGACTCTGAAACTGAGTAACTTTTGAACTGCGCGAAATATTTCAGTTTTCTTGAAGTTTGCAAGTTGGGTTGACTTTCGATAAATGAGTTCAGAAGGAAACGCACCTTTTAAACTCGACAGTCATTATTTAGCGGTCTAATTTTTATTCCTCGAACGTCGCAGGGCTGCGGAAATTAACGGAAGTTTAGTGAAGACATTAACGAAAAAATGCCGTAAGCAAAAGCACAGTACAGATGGTCCAAGAATGGAGACTAGACTGACAAAAGCTACTGGGGAGGTGACCAGATGTCATGGCCTGAAGAACAAACGCACTGCCGCAATTAGGGAGCTTTTCATAAATGCAAACTTTAAAGTCTAGTGATTTGCGTCGGTCGTTTGTGAGTTGGCTCCAGACCAGTTGAATATGTGTGTAATATATCTCACGTGTAATTTGCAGAACTTTAATGAACAAAAAACCCGCTTGGAGCATACGGCCGCTGTCGATGAAATATGGTTTAATCCTTACCTCCAGCCGCAAAGCGTCAAGGAGAAAGAAAGGCATCGCTCCGCGGAGAAATCGAGTTCAGTAACAGTGCTTAGTAGATCGTAGTACTTCCAGTGCAGATCAGGAGTCGCCTACTATGATCTGCTCGCCAAAAATGAAACGATAAATGCAGACTACTAAAAGACTCATAAATTATCGGCACGGCAATTGAGAGAACGCAGTCTGCTTACTTGATGACAATCCCAGATCTCATAGCTACGCCTCAATAATTTTCCAAATTGAGCAAAAATATATCCAACATTAATTTTAATTCGCTTATTCTCTAGATCTAGATCCGTATAATTGTGGGGTTTCTATGCCATAAAAAGAGTGACTGGTGGGCAGGCATATCCATCTATCGATCAACCTCGAAAGACCGTCGATGGAGAAAATATATATGGGAACATGAATAAGTTGCTAGATGGTTGGGACAAGCGCTTAAAAATTAAGGAGGATATTTCTAACACATTTTAAAACAAGTTTCTATTCTAGCCCAGATCGTATAAAAGTTAAATTCAATTCTAGAGTCCGCCAAATTTGCTCGTAGCAGCCTGTTAGCTTTTTATTCAATATTGATACTGTTTTTAAATATTGTATTGCGATAATTTAGTACAACTACGCAAATTAGAGAGAACATTCTCATAGTAGGTTTGGAAAAATCAACTGCTAAAGAATTTTAATTTTCTAGAGATTGCATTAGAAAGTAATTATCAATGGTAATTAAAACCATTTCCCTGCCATCATTTACCGTATTTGAATTTATAGATTATCATTTTAAAAAAAAGTTACTTTTTCCAGCTCGGTCTTCGCACTGACTTGGCAAAGATATTTTACTGGGCCATATATGGATGCGAGTCCAGATGATCCTCTTAAAGAGAACTTGTTCTCATGTAGGATTGTTACGGTTTCATTGGAACTGCTGTAAATATAGTCCACTCAAAATCTGAGAGGAACTCTGAAAGCGCTTATATCTGTGTCTCTATTTTTATGCTTTATCAATGCATGTATAAATGGATAAGCACATATTGAGTTAATATGATTTTTGGTTTTTTTTCAACTTCCGTAAACACATACAATGAAAAATGTATTTCCATAATATCACACTTACAGAATCGCGGATGGGAATAAGGGTATCGAACTTCTAAAAGATGAAGAATACGGCTTTCGTCATCTTCACCTTTTATAGTCGTGTACTATTATACACGCAGATGCCTGGATGCACAACTTCGATATCTGTTCGGTTGACTACGAATTTTCCATAATGAAATCAGTACGATGCTGTTCTCTACGAGCTGCAAAGTGATCTCACAGGAACAAACGGTCGGCAGTGATTTGGTGGACCAGCGACCAGCGCTCCCTGGGCTGCCACCACGGATAGCTGTACTGCATCGGAAATCCATTTCAGCTAGTTGGCTAGCTCATACCGTTGGGTCCCAGCACTTCTTTTGGTTTTTCTGCCATTGTTGGTGTTCAAATATCCACCGAACGGATGCTGGGCCTGCAGAGGCTTGATGCGGCCTGCGTATTTGCAAGAGTTAGTTTCTTTGAGAAGCAAACTTAGGAAAGACGACAGAGAACGCGGGGCAGGCTCATGTGATCACTGCTGTTTGACTCAAATGGGGGGTGAACGTCCTTTTTGTCATTCACCGACCGATCGTTTAGGTAAACGATTTTTTTCCATTGCCGCTGCTGCAGGTTTTCCCCAGCTTTCGTCTCCTCGTTCTTTTCTCGTTCCGGTCGCATGGTTTGCATTTAATTCCAATTGTTATTTGTGCTGTTCGCTTGAGCAAATTTCGCACTCGCCTACATTGACCGTACCAGAAAAGGGGCAAATCGGTGTGACGATGGAATTCCTTTTGGCCGAGTTGGTATGCTCCTGTTGTCTTTTCAATAAGGGAATGTCGACTGTGGATCTGGGAAATAATGTACTTATGTAGTCAGTTAAGACATGACAGTCCTATACGTTTTGTGCACTACATACTTTGGCCACATTGTGTACAAGCTAATCCAGGCAGGGGAGAAACTTTCTGCAGACATTTGTTCTTGCCGTAATGTTTTTGCTGCCGGAGCTATTGTCGTAGTTGTCGGATGTGTCGGTTCCAAGACGCGCCTTAGGATTTGTGCTAAGCTTATGATCTTCGATTTTTTTCTTCAAGGTCACGAAGCATAAAGTTTGTGAATTTTGATACAAAAGCGATCCATCCACGTTTCTGTTAGGACAGGCTAAACTAGTTAGGCTCCTATTGTTAGTATAAATAGATGCCCAAGCAAGCTGGGCTTGAACTTATGCTAGACCTGTGAGTGTATTTTTTTAAATTGCAAGAGCAATTAGTAAATAAATTATGCGTTAAGGCTTCATTTCAGTGATGGCTGTATGCCTCGTTTTTACGCCTAGTTGTAAAAGCGTATACTATTCTCTTCCGCACGATACACTTTCACTTCCGGAAGAAGCAGAGACGCACGCTCAAAAAACTTGACGCACTCAACTAAACTTTAGAAGCATCATGTCTGCTATTACGGTCAAACACAGCCCAAAATTATAAATTAAAAAAAAAATGCAATCAACATAGTCTACACTAGATTTTATTTTCAAGGTTATTTAAAAGTACCGTCGAGTCGCTTGAAAAAATCGAGGTTCTTCATTGCGAACCATAGACATATAGCACCATCATCATGATTATCCTCGACAGACTGGGCTATGTGGAGCTTATGAGACGTTTCAACCGTTACCAAATGTAGAATAAGAGCAAATATTACCGTGTTTATATTCTACATTTGATGCCAATCGTTACGAGTCGTGTATAGCCCATTCCGTAATGAATTTCCTATATATATATAGGGACATATATTTATGTCCCTATGGCCTATTGACGTTTGACATCGACCTGATTTTCGTGAGTCATCAGTGTTAGACGAGCTGCCGCGGCGGATATTCTTTCCAGTATCTAAAGCTGTTATGACAAACTTCATGCATGATAATTAACCAAATAAATTTTAGTAATAATAGTTACTCAAGCTATTTCTACACAATGGACGTAAGTTGCAGGCAGTATATAACAGTGTACACTTTTAGTAACGATAGATGAGTGGTGACACTTTTCAAGACAAGATTTCATAAAAAAAAAAAATAAATATTTGGGATATGGAGTAAACAGTCTTCATTTACAGTTATCGTACACTAGACAATATTGAGTTAGATCAACGTTGAATCATTTGATCCTGTCTTTTTCTCAGACATAGCGTATATGAATTATGTTTGTCTCATATAGAATAAGAATGCTGAAAATAGTATGATTAAAATACATAGTAGAAGCGCTGTAGTTACGTTGTGACCCTCTGCGCTACGCCATTCAGAGAAGGCTGGTTCCGCCCACATCGGACACAGGTACAAGCATCGATTATGGACTGCAATAGTTATTCTATCGTATTTTCCACATATACATTATAGTGTGAACGCCGAAGAATATCTTCACATTATCCTATTGTTTAAATTATTCTCTAATGGAATAAAGCTTACTAGCTGTGATGTACATAGTTTTTTTTTGAAGGCACATATTGATTTTTGCTTAAATAAACGTAAATGTCTTTTTTTTAATACAAATTTTCTACAGAACCTTTTCAGCCGATGAACAATAAGCTCAAGTAGTTCAACAGATGTCGGTCGAACTACTATTAGTCGGTTCTGACTAAAAGGAGTCTCTATACTCCGAAGTTTTCCGAAAGTCCGAAGCTTCTTTAACATTAAACCTAAAGCTAAAGATCACTAAAGCCCTTGTTCTTCATTCTCGCGGAAAAGTTGTATAGGTAAGCAAGCGTTTCGGCTATAGGCTTGAATCACGGGAAGACTGATTTGATTCCACCGCATAGCCAGTTGTGGTTCGTGGCCTTATGAAATACTCAATTTAGCGATATGCGTCAGGTGCACCTTGTAGGCGCAATACAGAAAGCTAGAAAAATTTTCCCCGGTGGGAAATTGACACTCTCGTTGCTTATCCATGCAGAGTCTTTCGAACGAAAGCATTCATTATAACAGTCGTTGTACCCGCAGAATATAACCATATGCCTACAACTTAAATTTGCTTCGTCTCAACAACGTAAGAAGCAGCCGAATGCACAATAAGATAAAAATGCATATATATTCATCATATTTTTTCTAACTTAGGTATTCGTACTTCTTAAGATACTTGAACTAGATGCGAACTATTAAAGTGCTTAGTAAATGTGTATGGCTGACAAATATTAAAATCGTCCTTCAATGTCATCGAACAGAAAAGCAACTCGAACCAGTCAAGTTCAACGGTTCATATCTATAAATAACGGTAACGATAACAGGTGACAGAATTTATTTCCATAAAAAAAAGAAAAATTTTAGAATCTCGCTAGAATCATAAGAAATACTCCATTTTGAAACCTCGACTTGTCTCAAAATCGATCACAGATCAAAACTTTTCATTAATCTACGAAACAGTCCCCGTTTTCACATTGGGACTTGCACTTATTTCCAGCTGGGTTTCGTTACCCTAACCCATGATGTAATGGCTCAAAACAAATCAAACAGCATTGTAACAGGCATTAGTTGAAAGCTTATACATACATGACCCATATAATAGGCATTTATTTATTTTTTTAATATTTATTTATTATTAATATTGAGCCACCGAACATCTATGTGCAACAGACTATTGTCCAAAAACCTTGGCGAAAGCCAAAGATGTCAACGCTAAAGCGTAAGCAATTTCTCCTCACTCGATCACCGTTGTCCCACCAGTGATTTACGGCGCTAGCTCGATTGAGGCCAGTGTCACGCCATTTTTATTGAAATTTAATTGGTGTTAGGAGTGCAGTATGTGAAACTTTAACGAGTTGGTATCGTTCACCGAACAGTGGGAAGCAGACGATTCTTGCATCGTATATATTCGCACTATCCAGTATAGGGCAATATCCAGTGACGGCAAACTGGAAAGAGGATCATAGTAAATTAGCCCAAATACAATGTCGTCGAGATTGGCAAAGAACGCATTTAATAAATTATTATTCAAATATTTGGCTATACGGTTGATCTGTAATCATCTTTAGGTCTATTTCGCGTACGGTTTAAGTTATATAATTCGCTGCGAATGGCGCGAAATCTCAATAGAACTTCGATTTTGTAATTCAACTTGTCCATGATTCATGCGTAAAATATTTGTACACCGTAATCTTGGTAGTTTTCTCGTGAAACAACTGCATCAGCAGTGATAATAACTACAGGCTTTCTGTCTACGAAACCTCTCTAATAACTTCCCTAAGAAGATCGAAAATCGTAATTGTCAGGGTTTGTGGGCACGGGCGGAGGTGACGCGGGCAGCTCGATACCTTCTAGTTCGAGAGTGGCAAGCTTCAGTTCTAAATCCATAAGTTCCTTGAAATCAGCCAGCGCTGATTTGCTCTCAAGGGACACTCCAATGAGTCCGTTGATCGCATCCCACAGGTCCTCAAACACTTCGGGATCTGTCGTTGCCACGTGAACGGGCGCTGTCTGGGTGGACATTATGGTTAGGGCAAAATCGTCCTTGCGGTAATGTATGCACTGTTTCATGGTGTCAACACGCAAAAGGGACTCAAGTGGAAGGGCCAACGTTTGATGGTCAATGATGACCCGCACCTGATGACGGTCATGAGAAAGCCTTACGGTGACGACTTTATTCTTCATTCGACTGCCCCGATCGCTGACCCGGGAAAAATCGAGGCCTTCTATAAGTTTAGCAATCTTCGACTCGCGCACTAATGACCAAATTTTGTCCTTTAGCTGGCTGGTCAGGAGCTCTGCAAAATCGAGACCGGGCCGTAGATTGTAATGACACTGCTATATTCATAAGGGGAACATTTATGCTAATAATTATTGATATATAATAATAATAATAATAATAATAATAATATTTATTATTATTATTGAAATAATGCAAGCATATAATTGTTATAGCTGGCACTTTCTTCAAATTTACTGTCTTCAATTTACCTACCTTGCCGTTTCACATCTTCACTGGTGAGCTGCTTCACTTCAAGACGCTGTGAGATTACAGGGTACGGCGCCGCATTCAGCGTCAACTGAAGCTGATCGAATGACCATGTGGCCATCTCATCATCGAGCGCAAAAGCTAACTGCTCGCGGACAATGGCAAACACCTTGAGTAGATCGCCTGAAACAGCCCTCATTTCGCGCCAAGTCTTTAAAACAAGTTTCAGCGTGAGGCAAAAGAATTCCTCGAGAAAGCAAGTTAAATCTGTGAAGAACATCCGTAGGAAGGCTTTGTTTCCTTCTGCTGGTGCATCTTCCAAACTTAGCATGTCGACAATCAGATCACTGAGCAGGATGGCGCTCTTAAGGAGTGGGCATATATACTCCAAAGGGACGATGCTGATCTCCTTCATCCAAGGGTATAGGACCATTGAATATTTCTGCTCAAAGTATTTGAGGCAATGTAAAGTAAGACCGTCAATATCGCGGACTGTGATCAGAAACTTCTCTCCTGGCCGCAGGACGTCTTCGTATTCTTCGGGTACTCCTCCAATGCGTTTTAATGCATCGATGTAGCGTCGACTTTGTGGGTCCCTCCAGCCGAGGTGGGTGCGAAGTACCGTCTCCATGAACGAGTTGAACTCATTGTTGTGGCTCATTTCACCTCGTTGGTTATACAGTGGTCCGTATTTATTTCTAAGGAGCTTCGTTTGGAACTGGAACAGCTGCTGACGAAAAGTCATGTCGTTTTCAGTAGAACCTTTAGGAAAGCAGTGGAGTAGTTTTTCAGAAAGGTTTTCGCTTACGTTGAGAATATCAGCGATTAACTTCTGGCAATGTTCTGTGTCGAGACAATCCATGAGGTTGTTCATAAGTATAATGAAATAGCGTGGGGTGCTTGTGTTACCATAAGCAATATTTTCCACGATACGACTGACCGGCAGGTGATCAAATACGTCGGAGGGCATCACTCGAGCCATGTGTCCCAACACAGACAGAGTTACGTCGAAATTGCCCCTGTACTGAGACAGCGGTGCCAACTCGGCGCAAAGTCGCTTGACGAATTCCAATGTAAAATGGTTAACATTTAAGGGACAAACGCTGAGAAACACCTTGATAATGCGAAGGGCTTTGTGCATCTGCGGCCCATTAAAGTGCCCTCCAGCAATAACCTTCACTAACGAATCAATGCCCTCAACAGCGACAAAGCGTTCAGCAAATTTCGGACAGTGGATAAGTAACTTAAGACTTTCCAACGCCTTAGCTTTATTAAACGATTCGAGGTCATTTTTTGCCGTTTGCGCAAGTAGAGTGGGACTTCGCATTAGCACGACGGTGTTACCCTCTTTAAGTATGTCGCGATTCTGTTCCGTCAAATAGAACAGTTTTCCGTCTTCTTCGTATGCGAAACGATATTCCGCAGGCTCGACGTCGATCCGTTGGCAGATGGGCAGTACCTGTGTCTTTATTGGCAGATCTGGCTGAACCATGTAGAAGAGCTTATCGAATTCTGGCCGATGTGGTACTTTCACCCTAACCTTGAAGCTCATCATGGATTGTCGAGAATTACCAAACTGGAAACAACAATTAGAATAGAGGAATAGTAAAGCTAAATAATAAAATTGGTCAAACAGTTATAGCATTTTACTCCACAGCCACTCTGGTGGCACTGTTATCAATTATTGCTTTGTAATTAATATCTAATTATTCTACTGGGCCGAGCTTAAAGCCAACTTATCATCGCAGAAAATAATCTAACGTTGAAATAGCTGGGGATTTTTTAGATTGTCTTAGTAGATTTCTTACTACATTGAACTGTTTTTACAAATAAAAAAATCTGCTTAGTACCTTATAATACCAAGTCATTTCTCACAAATTGATTATTATTTTAAATCTGGTAAAAACGGTAGTTACCGTTAGATCATATTTAGTATTAAAATTGACATAAAAGGCTCATTTTATGTGACTCAGCAGAACTCTACAGACCCCGTAGCGAACACATTGTACGATCTGATTTGTATACTAACATTTATAGAGCCAACTTTTTTATCGTCAATTTTTTCCTGTTGTTGCTGTCTGCTTGCACGATGATATTTGCAAATAGGCAAAAGGGTGGTCGGTCACAGGGAACGGGTAACAACCTCTGTTAGGTGTTTCGCATGCTCTTCGTATCTTTTCATGAAACCTGCACTATTTTTGACGTTGAGCCTCCCTATTGCCCCATAAAAGATAGAGTCAATCGAAATCAACGAACCTTTATACGAGTTTGTTACAATGAATAGTTAAGGGCGTAACTTGGACTGTTTATTCGTATTTGCACAAACAATTTTGTACGAGAAAGTTATAGTCGTGAGCGGGGACAAAAGACGTTTAATAGGAACTCTAACGACCTTGCTAGTGAATTGCATACACATGAATACTAAATATAATTTCTCCGTGTCGTCGTGCATTAAATGACGACTTAACGTTGGATCTACGCCAATAGACAAAGACCAATTGCATTCTGTAGGCCTCGTACAAACCATGAATGGTTTCTGTAGGCCATAGCAAAAACTCTTCAGAGTTCTAAGGCACTTCTGAGAAAAAGTCACACGCGTCAGAGAATTGAATCTAACCGATAACTATCAATAAGGTGTTCTATGGCTTCGGTGTCAGCCTACGAATGGTGCTTTGGGGCAAACTGACGAGAAACAAAGGCCAGATTTGGGGGAAAGAAGGGATCCTGTTCAGACAAAGCCCACGGCGCAGTAACATGAAAGCCCCAACTATTTCTACCCCCAATATAGTAAATAATACGAACCGAAAACACTATAGTAAATCTCGGTCTGACCACGACTCCATTGGGTATCACAGTTTCTGACGTATCTAGAATTTGGGCTATTGCTGACAGCAGCAACGGTCAGCTAAGCTTTACCATTTATCTTGTCTGATGACCTACACTTTTACTCGTTAACCATAGACATTGCACCGAAACTAACAGCCAACTCAACTGTTACCAGTTAACACATCTGGGCAGGTTCATTAACACAAATACACTCTTCTTGTTTTTCCAGAACTGATGAACACGATCTTCATCTTTTTTTTAAGTGTTAAATTGTTGAGCTTCCGCCACTCGCGAATCAATCACAGTCTCGCGTTTGGCACTGCCGGCGCAGACACCTGCTAGCACCAGTCACCTCAGTTTTTCAAACAGCCAAGTCTCCTATCATCGGTAATGTGGTTCTACCACTGTAATGCAAAGGACAGCCAGTGAATGTCCATAAACCTCTTTCGCGTCGTTGAATAGCCCCTGATGAACGTGTGCTCAGATACTATAGGCAAGTCCGCAGGCTGACTGCGGTGGTCCCATTAGTTCAAGCAAAGTTTGTCCTGGAGGACCTTCCTAATAGGTGCCAAGGAGAAGCAGTAGGAGCGATTAAGACTTGACATCAATACTTATCGATATCTATCGCATATTCAGCGATGTCTCCGCATCCGGCTACAGTGAGATATACAGTAGGTTGTCACCTGTCATTATCGCTATGCTCCAGCTTCAGCTGTGCGTACTTCCGTGAAGGCTCTCTAGAGGACGCCTGTGACAGCGAAGGGCAAATGTACGTTTACAAATGACGATGTGGTATTTTTGGCTTATCCACGGCTAGTGCTGCCATCAGTATGCTTGCTTGGAACAACTGTCGCCTTTAGAGATCGCTTTGCTCAATCACTCCAGCGATAACGTCCTTTGTCACCTTTTGACAGCACCACTGATTCGAAAAGCTGAACAAATCGCAACGACAGCGTCCAGTGACGACTGTGAGATGTAACAAGGTAGACGAATCAAAATATGTGCATCTACAAGTAGGTCGGGACCAGATGATTTTCCAGGGGAAAACTCCAAGAGATCCGGATGAAAGATTTCGACGTACGCATTCCTGTACATGCACCAGATCTTTTAGCCGCTGTAGGGTTAAGAATTTACGGAACAGCCTACCTCGCTAGCACCGTAATCTCTCCAGATGTTGACTTGGTGGTTAACTGTCTTAGCTTGTTTATAATGGAAAATTTTTTCCGACGATCGATTGTCTCGCGATTCGCTCTTTCCCGTCGTAGCGGCTTCTGCACTTGTAGTAGCTCTCCTCTCAAATTATTATGGCTAGCCACCATTTATAGCACCCCCTAGAAGCAAAGTGGCGCCAGCATCAGCCGCCGCGTGGCTTGGATGACTACTCCCAAACCATACTCGAATGGTACGATGCCATCATAGGAAATCACCATAAACTCTGCATCTGGTTTAATTCGGTCGTTTGCCCTGAGGACGCTAATACGTGCGCTTTTCGGGAACGTGTACCAGTGAGCTTATGGGCAAGCAATTCAGTCAGCGATATTGCCTGAAGTGGCTAAAGGACTAGACCGTATTAGATAGCTCATCAAGGTGCTCGATTCATTAAGACAGATTGGAAAGACTTTGCCGGCGCTCTAGCGGCCTGATCTGTGTACGTCGGGTGACGTACGCACAAAGGTTGTTCTAGACAAGAAATGGATGTTTGGCAAAAGTCGAACGACAAGTAAATGGTCACTAAGGCTGGCTGGATTGTGAGACGGCTGGGGGAAGCTGTAAATAGTGTAAAAGCTTTCGTTTACTATCGTCTACCATTATTGAAGACACTCATAATAGCAACGAGGCGAGAGGAAGAGTAAAGGAAACGCTAGTATAGAGCGTATAGGTAAAAACGCCGTAACCGTCAGCATCACTATTGGCAGGATAGGACCTTCGATCGATGATCACAGAACGCAGGAATTGAAAAAAATGAATGTTCAATGTGTAAATGGTAACACGGTGATATATTGTGTGGATTTTAGGTGAACTTCGTTTCTGGTTGTGTGCTGAAATTATGCGCATACACTTGTCCAGATCGTGCGTCGGGCATAAAATTGTTATGGCTTGTCGATAGAATTATATAGAAGAGAGGAGTGGTTAGCCAAAGGATTGCGATAGTCCTTAGCGAGGAAGGATGTTCTGTAGTTTTTTTTTTGCAAATCACATTTTGTTCCGTTCTTGGCCTACGTGCAGCGACGTGTTTGTGGATGGATTTAGTAGTCCAGTAGGAGTAAAAGAAAACCTGCTTGTTTATCCTGGGTACATGTAGTTTCCACCCTGTGTCTGAAAAAGTGATCTGCCATCTGTGAACTTACTTTGGTACACGTAATAGTATCCGGCAGGTCGACAAGGTGAGCAAAAACTAGCACCGTATCAACACAAAACAACCGCCATTGCGACTGGAGTATGATCACAGCATCGAACGCCGATCAATTTCTGCCCCCGTTCGGACCCATGCACAGTTTTTCAGAAGTCATTCAATACCGATACTAGAGGCCTATCGACAAAACTGGGAAGACGAAGAAAGGTCGAAAAATTTAACTCCAATGGCTCATGTCGTCAGTTGTAGCTGGCAGCTCGGCGCTAGTTTCGGCCGACAATGTTGTCGATACGGTTTAGCGGTCTAGACTGTCTCGTATCGCCTAACCGTTTTGATAGAGATTACCACTATGGCGGCGACGGCGACGGCGGCGGCAGTTTATACTGTCTCGATTACTCCTGTCGGCTTATAGACGCACTCCATTTACTTTGCTTAGTCATTTAAATGTAATCACTGTTAGTCAAAGCTTGACCGAAAAACAGCATCGCTGTATTGGGTAAACGTCAATCAGTGCGGACTGCAGAGCGTAACAATAAGCGTTGACGCAAATGACACGATACGCGAACAATTTCTGACCACAGGGGTAGCGTCAACGAAGGGCGGGCGTACGGGCGTTCGTCAAGCCGATTGCTATGTTGTTATAGTGGTCAAAATCGCTATTGCTGGATTGGTTTTTGTGCTTGGGCAATTCGTATGTGAAGGAGCAACTCCCATCGATAAGATGGGCTTTTGTCGGGAGCTTATAGATAGCCACGAGCTGGTCGTTGGCAGCGGAGTGATCGCGCATATGTGAACGTTGTGAGCGGTGTTTGAGTCATAGCCGCATGGATATTTCAAAAAGAGTTATCCCTTTTCCTTCCAAAGATCCTTGCTTTCCTTTTAGACACATAGCGACGTTTTGTCATCTCGCCGTCGGTCTCTGAACGATGTCTGTATTGCGAATATAATTAAAAATAGGGCCATAGCATAAAGAGGATCACGTAAGAATAAATAACGAGCAGGAAGCATAATAGGATTTACATTGATCAAACATAACTGTGTAATGAGCCGAAATTTAGAACTCGTTGTGGAAAAAATCAGTGTCTCATATATAGGGTATTGAACTTCTTAGCCTATTGTGCGTGAGTCCGTCATCTCTATCCATTGCGACAGTCTTCTACCTTATACTTTTTATCGGCAGTACTAACAAAATACAATAGTAGCCATTAAGTGATTATGACTCAGTTGCAAGGGCTGAGTTTGTCGTTGTGTCGCGCTCGCGAGCGAGCAAACATACATATACCTATATATTTTTACATGTTCAAGCAGTGACATAATCAATGTCTTGATCAATTTGGGCTAGTAAGTTCCGTTGTACAGAAGGTCAAACGTATTATGACTCATGATACTCGTTTGAAGAACTGTCATATTCTTGTATAGATAGCTGAAAAATCTCCCTTCGATGCACTATCGTCCTCTCGTGACGCACCTTTCTACTGGTTCTGATTCTATTATAGATTTAGGTTAGCATCACAGCCAGAAGTAAGCGCCTTGCGGCGAAATTCCACTATGAAAAAAGCTTGAACTTTATATCGTGATAAAACTGTAACAAACAGGTGACCCTTTATTACACTTCATCAATTAAGAGTATGAAAAAAAAACATATGATAATAATATCATAATTGGCGCTTTGATCTATTCAAGTAAGCTGTATAGTATGTTGCACGTCGTGTGAAAGCAAATACCTAGCGTGTCGAAACTTTCTTTTCGCTCCGAAGCAGCCGATCAGTCTGGTATTCTGTCAGCGTCAGATATCCCACTGCATCTATTACTAGTCCCTCATTACAAACTCATAGTAGTATAATAGCTTTGCTTTTTTAACGCACAATATAAATTTTTATCATTGTTTTTTCGCTAGGTTACCAGTACACCAAAATCCGCCTATATTGTTAAAAGATACTACTTTGAAGTCAGAGCATGGGTTCTGCTTTCGTCAGGCTGCCTTTCCTCATTACACGTATCACATCACGATCACGCAGAGCAAATTATATCAAGGGCCATCATTACCACGTCTTTTTCCAATCACATTATCCTATACGTTTTTCTTCGCCACCAGGGATATCACATCATGTAGCTTATTATCATGCCGCGAGATATTTCAACTGTTACTCCCTCACTTCTTTCTGTTATGACGCTCCGTCTGCTTCTATTAAAACGCACTAGTACGCGTAGAGTGTCGCGCGGATCTCGCTGGCCAAACGCCAACTTGCCTGTGTCATCGAGTTCCGCTAGCACGGAACGCTAAATTCGCTGTCGTTATTAGTATTATAAAATAACATTTAGCGCAGAGCTGACACCAGGAAAGCTGAACACTGCTCTGGAAAAAGCTAGATAAACGATCTTATATCTCTGTTTGGGTAGTTTACCTGCCATCAATCGACCATTATGTCTGTTACGTTAACGCACCGATGCCATGACGGGCACTAGTCCTGCCGGACGACTTCATGTCAATACGAAACACCGGTTCATTCCATGTGTACTCTATACGTACTTACTGTGCAGACGGCCTCTCTCCAAAAGCTTGACTCCTGTATTTATTTGTCTGTCGCTGGCGCCCTCGCCGTCCAGCGTCTACTTGTATGACTGTATCTACACGGCCACTGCCCTAGAGCCTGAACGTTCAACTTCGACGGTTGTCGCCGGATCTTTCGTTTGCTGGGCCAACAATGTTTGCACCTTTTCCGTAATGTAAGTAAGGAGACTGTGCAAAAAGGCGTATTGTATAAATTATACATATATAAACGATATATAATATTATTACCCGCCGTATCCGTACTTCGTACTCTCATCTCCAGGACACACGATATTCTAATTCTGTAAAGATTCGGCCTGGCACGCTATGAATCTGTTTTACACATCACCGTATTGAACGCCGTTAAAACGCAGCATCCCATCAATAGTCTGCCTTGTATGCGAAATCGTCAGGCGGACTTTGCGCCGTTAATACTCCCATGGGACTGCAAGTGTATTGGGCGATCTGGCGTAGACGTTACTGTACAGCACAGTAACCTAAGGCTCTTGGACAAACTAACTACCCGATCCTGCTTGTGTCCAACGCTGGTATCGAATCGCATCCTGCTGCTCTATGGTCCCCGCTAGGGCCAGCGGGACATACGTAAGCCGAGCGAATCGTTTACCACTGTCAAACACAACCGGCCAAGAATCGGAACGCCGCCTTCAGCAATCGTTACTGCTAATGTTGTTGTTGCCGGGTGGCAGAGACGTGTGTCAAGTGGCAGCAGTCGCGAGCTGACGCGCGTCTATTGACGCAAAACGACTGGCGTTTCTCTACATTTCTCTTTCTCTATCCAAGAGCGTCATCGGCGATGGCCGCTGTTGACACTGCTTAGGGACTAAGATAACAAAAACGAGCGAGGGTCAAACAGATAGTAACGGTGCGCCTAAAACATACGGAAACAACCGTACAGGAGACGAACGCGCAGCGTTACTGAGCATGGGCAGCCTGACAGAACACAGATGAGTATTCGTATGTGTGTATTACTCAGGAGCAATCGGCGCAAACATACGAGCAGGTGACTATGAGGAAGTGGCAATATCCCAGTAAATATGTGGATATCAAAATTATTGAGAATGCGATGACTTGTTGTTATTTGCTTTGTTTCTAGCAGACCGGCCCAAGTGTAAACAATGGCGTAGGAGAAATGCCATATAAATACCCGCCGGCACCCGATCCGCACCCTGTCACAACATTGCGAGTAAGATGAAACTGACAATTGTTAGCCTTATAGAACACTTGATGTTACTGTCATTTGGGCGCTTCTCTAATGTCCTCCATCTTGTCGTCCACTTTTTTCGAATAGAGCGGCCTATAGATTTCAACGTAGCTTCTTTGGCCAGCAGCAAAAAAAACGTCCTAATAACCGAAAACACGAACCTAAATGCCAATCTTGCAACGGCCTAGTCAACCAGCGTACGCTGTTAGACCAACTCACATCTATCGAATAACGATTATCTCGTTCGCGACTATTATAGCACTGTAATTGAGGTCCTGCATGCTAGGCGCCACCACGGTGACCTAATCTTCCAACGCTGGCGTGTCCAAGCCAGGCAAAATCGAACCTTTGGATAGCAAATGTCACTCACAAAACGCAAGTGCTGCTATCGCCGGTCGATGCAATTCTTCCCCTCCGTGGTTTAAGTCTTCCGCTGTATTGTTGCTCTCCTAAGAATTTCTGTTGTATTAGCCCAATTGCCGCTTACTTGCGATAGAACGGGCGCCGATCGAGTGATACTGACGCCATGTCGTCGCCTAGAGGCTCAATAAAACGCATTAGTCGAGAGCGCGAATTGACGGAACCGTCTATACCAACTAGTAACAGACACAACCGTTGTAGCAGTGGTCAAATAACCTAATAACAATCGTACTAGTCATGTCGCTGATTTTTCCGGTCGTCACACCGCTGCTTCACTATAGTCGAAACAGAAGCTGGGCAGCAAACCCTACCTACAACAGGCACAGGGAAGTTTGCTGTCTGGTTGCCCGATGCTCACGCGATTTGTTTACATCATCACGAGTTCGTTTGGGAGCTCACTCTGGCCTGTTTGATCGGACGAGGAAGAGGAGGTGAGTGCAGGAGCAGGATTCATCGGTCTCCTCGCAGACTGATACTGTGTCCGACCGGCTGCAAGCGAAGTCTGTCGCACAGACACCAGTGGTCCTTCCCAGTCGGCTCGCCGCTGCTACTACTACTACTACTACTACCACTACTACTGTCGTATGTTTGCCCCAGCTGGCGCCACTTGGGAGAGGGAGCTCTCGTCGGCTGCTGCTATAACGACGATAGCGACGAGGGATGTTAACACTCACAGCAGAGGCCAATAGTCAACAAGATGAGCGGTGCCGTTCACGACGACTTGGCGCGAGGATAGTTGGGTATCACAGCGCAGAAACGCCTGCATTATGCAGATTGTGCTATGTATACTGGCCAGCCTATCTGTTCCTTCCCTTTCAAAGGATCAGCGAGCGAGCGTTAAGGGGCGACTTAGGTAAAGATCTGCCATTATGACACAGATGGGTGTGCCGTGAATGCCCACAGGGGGCATAACCGTTCGATAGAAAGAGGGTGTGTAGGTGTTTCCGTACAACTATCATGCAACGACGACAGTTGTTCATGAGTAGCCAGCTATTCTGTCATAGAATTGTAAGGTCCGTGGAGCTAGCAGATGTTTGTTGAGCAGCTAAAAAGTAAACTGAATTAACTGAAATTAATGGATTTGACAGTGATTAACTTGCCCTGTGCAGGGTATCGGGCTGTACTTTTAGAGCAGGATATACGTGAATGGTTTATCGAGCAATTTATAATTAATTGACCAGGTTTAATTGATTTTGCACAAATGAAAGGTCGTCTTGTTGTTTGTCTAAATATTGCTCACGTAGGTAAATACCTGATATTTCCTAGAAGCTAGTTTATCTCAGGAGCGCTCTACGTTTCACATTAACGCTTCTTCTCCAATAAACGTAAAGTAACTGAACATCTTAGGCAGTCACATTTTGACAGAATTTAAATATCCGTTCTATCGGATCCATTTTATATGCTAGAGTTCTCCGTCGCCAACTCTGTCTGCTATACTGAACTTTGTTTAACTTCTGAGTAGACCGCAATAACTCGGAAAACTTGTACATAGTTACCGTTTGATTTCACCAACCTTAAATAAGTCTAAGATTGATTACTTCGTGCTC